GTAAATTGTGGTCAATGACATGAGACAAAGTATATGTGAACTGCTGTATGGAAAGTGAATTTGCTCTGTAAATCTTCACCCAAATCACAATAATAAATAAATAAATAAATAAATAAATAAATAATCTCACCTGAACTGAGCCAAGTTCTTCCTTGCTGCCTAGTCTCTGATAGTGTATACTAATATGAAGAAAAAAATTAAGGTTAAAAATATAGATGGCATGATCATAATACTAAGTTGCATAAAAATTATATTAATATTAGACATAGAAATTTTTATAATGAAGAAAGTCAAACTGCATGTAAAACAGTATCAACACTAGGTTATTTGATTAAGGTATTAATTTCATAATAGTGTTAAAAGCCAAACAAAAACTGGAGCTTTTGTACATTTTCAATGAACAAAACAGTGTTGATAATGATTAGTCTAAATACCTAATAATATAAATCCTAGCTAAACCTACTTGTTGTCGTCGGTATCATCAATGCATAGTTTAGATGGAACACAGTTAGGTGACATTGTAAGTTCTACATCATGCTTTCTTAGGGGCATTTTTATGTCCCTGTTCATGTTCACATGGATTGGTTTTCTCACAGTTTCTATAATGAAAAAAATCAGTTATAGTTAAAAATAAGAATAATAAAATCTTTTAAAAGCCTATCATGTTCATGACATAATGTGCTTCTTAGAACTTTTTCTAAAACCTACATTCTATATATACAAGAAGAAAGCATAGAAGTACCAATAAGTATCACAAATAATTTTTAAAACCCTTTTTCTTCATACTTTTACATTCTCCATATAAAAGGGACTCTACTGATTCAGTTCTACTTCTTTCTTCCTTTCTCCAAGACTTCTTTGACTTCTACACAATACTGGGTGCTATGTTATACATTCCCATGACACTAGGTATTTTCTCTATTATAGCAATAAACACCCTTGATTATATTTAATTATTAATTCATTGTTTTGTTTGTTTAGTACTTTTTCCTAATTTTCTTTCCTGGAAAATGCTTTTTATACCCATCTCAACTATACAGTTCTAGTGGGTAATTTCCACCATTTGTCCATCAGTTTGTCATGCTATGGTGGCTTGCATGTTGCTGTGAGGCTAGAGGCTATGCCACCAGTATTTCAAATACCAGCAGGGTCACTCATGGTAGATGAGTTTCAGCAGAGCTTCCAGACTAAGACATGGTATTTTCAATTGCCACATATGCACATGGGCAATGAATAAGGAAGACCAAAGAAGAGCTGATGCCTTTAAATTGTGGTGTTGGCAAAAAATATCGAAAATACCCTGGACTGCCAGAAGAATGAAAAAATTTGTCCTGGAAGAAGTGCCAGAATGCTCCTTGGAAGTGAGAATGGCCAGACTTTGGCTCACCAATTTAGTCATGTTGTCAGAAGGAACCATTCCCTGAAGAAGAATATCATGCTTCATAAAGTAGAGGTTCAGCAAGAAAGGGGAAGTCCCTCAATGAGATAGATTGACACACTAGCTGCAACACTGGGCTCAAACATAGGAAAGAGTGTGAGGATGGTGCAGGACTGGGCAGTGTTTCATTATGTTGTACATAGAGTCAGTGTGAGTTGGAGTCAAGTAGATGGCACCTCACAACCACAACAGTGGGTAATTTCTATCTTTTCATAAAAACCTACCTCTTTGGACAAAGTAATTGGTTTATGAGTAGCCCTCTGATCCAAGAGTGACTAATAATAGTATACCATACCTCTAGTTACAGGTAGGGAGCTCTGGTGGCATAGTGCCTAAAGCATTTGACTGCTAACCAGAAGACTGGTTCAAACCCACCAGCCACTCTTTGGAAGGAAGATTGGGCAATCTACTTCCTTAGAGAATCCACCTTGGAAACCCAAAGAGGAGTCCCCTATGAGTCGAGTCGACAACAGTGAATTTGTTTTTTTTAGTTATAGGTAATTGTTCCACGGCTGGTACCTGGCACTAGTAGGTCAAATCAACATCCTTTCAATGGAATTTTAAAATTTGGAACCAGAGAAACAATTCTCTCTTGGTGGCAAAACTAGCAGAGATGAGCAATGAAAGTTCCCTGAGGACATGTTTTGAGTCTCTGATTAAGACAGTCTGAGAGAATAAAGCTAACATCTGAGGTGAGAAAGAGTACTGATAGTATTCAAGACCCTAATTCAAGTTGCCTCTGAGGCCCAACTGCACTAGTGTCTTTCCTAAGTAAAGTAAGCAAATATATTCTTTTTTTTTTTTTAATTTCTGCAAAGTGCAATCATGACTAATAAAATCGTACCTTCTAATCTATCTCTAGCACTGAATACAGAACAGATGGAAGGTACTCAATGAACATATGTTGAATGAATGAACAGAAAGTGAGAGTACAAGGGAGTAAGTAAAGGTAAATATATCTAACATAGTTATAGCAAAAAAATTTCATTCCCAAAGTCTATAAATAACATATTTACTCTAAAGTATAGCTAAACCAACTTGACAGCACCTACCAACAACAAATTTTCTGTGTAAATTGCCATCTATAGAGGGAGAGACAAAAATGGCAGAGAAAGGAAAATAATAGATATTAACAATACTATAATCAATTTCTATCCTTAATGAATTTTCTTATTTCTGAAGCACTCATTTTGTTGTTAGGTGCCATCAAGTCAGTTTTGACTCATAGAGACCCTATGCACAGCAGAACAAAACGCTGTCCAGTCCTGTGCCGTCCTTACAATCATTGTCACGCTTACGCCCATCACTCATCAAGCTCTTATTTTAGGACTTACTTTAAAATATCAGATAAAAGTCTCTTTGAGAAATAAAAAATATATACTCTTGAGTAAACATTTTATTTACTTGAAGGCTTGAAGTACAGGACAAAATGGACTTTATTATAAAGTATTAGACTACTATAGTTAATATCCTAAGGCTGTCTGAGAAATAATTCAAGTTGTGAGATAGGAAGCTAATCAATAAAAGAAAAATCCTTTCAGCTTCTTTCTTAGAATAATTTCTCTATGTAAATAGAATAAGATAGTAAAGATGTTTATTCTCTGATCTTGAGTTAAACTTTGGTGTTATATGCCTACACAGAATAATGTAATAAATGAAACTGCATTTTAATAAGTTTAACATATCTTATAAAATTAATTTTATATATTAACACATACACATACCTAAAAATAAAAATAAATCTATTAAACAACAAAAGATTTTAAGTTAAAATTAGCTTCTAACTTATAGGGGCAACCAAGTTTTAAAATTATTTTACTTTCCACATCTTTTAAATTTTAATATTATAAATTTATTAGAAAACTAAAAGTGACAATGACTGCATTAGTGTCAAAACAACAGGCTACTGAAAAGACTTACCAGACGTTTTCTTCTTGCATGATATCTGATTTACTATATACAGGTTTAGAAGGTCTAAACTGACAGTGGAATTTTTAGCAGGTGATAAAACTTCCAGTAACTCCATTTTTGATTTTAACTTTTTCTTTTCAAAATATTCCTAAAATAATTTAAAATTTAATAAATTATTGCAGCAACCAAGTAGTTCCAGGTAAAATAATAATTAATGAAAATCAATAATGCTATTAAATCATTTACTTGATATTTATATATTTTGTGATACCACCTTTATATGTCTATATATAAGGTAAATTATAATCAATTACAATAACTTCTACTTTCCAAAAAAAAACCTCTACATTACACATTGTCTTACAATATTTCTTTAGTTAACATTATATCCTGAAGCAGAAATTTAAATTATTCTTTGGTCTCAAAAGATTAGAAGTTATCTGTTTGTAGAAAGCTAAAATATTCTGATAAGAAACACACCAAATCTGATAGGCTAAAACTTGTTTTTCTACAGAGTATGCTAAGCTGCAAACATATAAAAAGCCTTAAAAATACACATAACTGAGCCATTAAAAGTCAACAGATATGAGAAGGGAAGAATGTGCTTCTTGTTGTTGTTGTTATGTGCCGTCGAGTCGGCCCCGACTCATAGCGACCCCTCCTTGGGTTTCCGAGGCAGTATCACTACGGAAGTAGGATTGCCCAACCTTCCTTCCGAGGAGTGGCTGGTGGGTTTGAACCGCCAGCCGTCTGGTTAGCAGGCAAGTGTCTTAGCCACTATGCTACCAGAGCTCCCGAAGAATGTGCTATGAGAACTAATTTGCAACAAAAGTAGCTTGTTTACACTGACAATTTAATTCATTTTGTTTTCCCTCCATGATTCCTAGATAGTTTATGTATTTTAAAAAAAATAGACAAACAGAATTTTACATAGTTATCATACTTAATAAGGAATTCTGGTGGCACAGTGCTTAAGGCATTAGGCTACTAACCAAAAGGTTTGCAGTTCAAACCTACCAGACACTCCAAGGAAGATGACAAGGCAGTCTGCTTCTGTAAAGATCTACAGCCTTGGAAACCCTATGGGGCAGTTCTACTGTCTTATAGGGAATCAACTTGATGGCAGTAAGTTTTTTGTTTCTTTTTTAAATCGTTCTTAATCAAGTATTTATTTTCTTCTTGGCTGTTTCTTCCTCATCATCATTCTTTTTCTTTCAGATTACATTCTAAATTTACCAAGTTAAACATTTATTTATTATCTTGCATGTGCTAGCCACTATAATATATTATAAAAATATCTTCACTTCCTTTAAATAACTGAGAAAACAATGTCATACGCACAACTATGTACGTGAAATGTTAGAAGTGAAAAAAGTCCAAGATGTCAAAAAACTTAAGGCAATAAGAAATATTATATTTCCAAGATGCTAAGGCTCTTTCATATTGCCATTTCAGATTGCTGATTAATAAACCACTTTTAACATTGTTAGGAACCTGTAAGAATTATAAGAGACTTTCCAGTTATCAAGCAAAAAGTTAAGTCTTGTTCTTATGCAAAATTAGCCACAGATAAGAGGTATCTGTTCATATTTTAGTTGAGAAATTGGCAACCATAGGACTCAAGTGGCATTTAAAAGATCGCAATATAATTTAGCAATGAAATGAAATTACTTCAGCATGTAAGTATTTTTTCTCCTCACGGAAAAAATAAGATTAACTCAATGCTGGATTTTATGATTGATGGCATCTTAGAATTAAGAAAATGCTGTTTGTGAAGGCATTATACTATAGAATAAATAAGATCATGGTGAGGGAGACAATGGCACAAATAATTCCAACAGAGTGTGACAGAGGATGGTATAAAATCCTCAGGAAGAATATGGAAACTGTGGGGCCGGGGAAGGTTATAGAAGACAGGGAAAGTTTCCCAGGAAATGATTTCTAAATTGACAGATACGTCAGAGTTAGCCAAAGAAGGTAGGAATATAAGTTTCTAAGAATAAGGATGAACAGTACAGAGACTGTCTGAAAGGCCGCAAGCCTTAATCCAAGAAACGCTGCTGAAATTTATCCCTCATGCTCTAGCAAGGATAGTCCCTGTCTCTTCTGAGAAAGAACAAAGATAAGTGACTAACTGATTTACCTGACAGGGTAAAGCTCAGTTTTTTGGTCAGGTTTCATTTAGCAAAAACAATTAGAAAATAAATAGGAGAAAATTAGAAAACTTCCAGAAGATAAATAATCAGATTTTAACTTGAAAATGGCCATTAAGAAGGATCAGCTGAAAGACAGAAAATCTGCAGGATATATCGAAGAAAGCAAGGAAAGAGATTATTTCAAGATAAAGGGAATAGAAACCTGTGTAAGAAATGATGACATATTAAATTAAGTTGGAGTGGAAAATGTCCTTTAAATTGAACAACATTGTTGACATTAGACCAGTAGACTAGAGTGGGCTAGAATGGGACAAGTGAAGGGGCATAGCAGGAAAGGGAAAGGGAAAAAAATTCATGGAGTTTATTGTTTTGTATTTTCAATAGCAGAGAATTATGTCTGAATATCAATGAGAAGCCTCAAGCAGTTGAGGATTCAAGAAAGAGAAGAAATAACTAATTCAATAAGGTCCCTAAGAGGGCAGAAATAGATTTCCAGATCACAAATAGAGAGACCTTCCTATAATAGGAAGAGGAAACTACTTTCATAGCCATAAGAGAGAAAGTGAAGATGGATGTGTGAACAAGTAAGATGATTTACAAATTGTTGATAGAAATTTGAGATAATTTTCATCTGATGTCCTCTATTTCCTATGAGTATGATGACGAAGAAAGGGTTTGGGGGAGAGAGATTTGGGAAGATGAAGGTATGAAATCTTTCTTGTAAAAGAATGATTAAAATAAATTTAGGTACTTAAAAAGAAATAGTCTGGGAAAAAGACTACATTCATAAGTTTACACAATCTATTTTTAAGTGCCTATGCTATCGCTCTGGTGGCAGTGTGGTTCAGTGTAGAACTGTTGCCTTTCACAGGGGAGACCTGATTCCCTT